GAAAGGGCAGATCCCAGCAAACAGGGAGATTTAGGGAACAGCCCAGCCGGTGAATTATTCATACCTCTGTGGTGTGCTGTCTCCCATGCTTTCAGACACTGTAGCATTTTCCCAAACCCTGCAGGTGGTAATGGTGTTTCTCCCACTTCACTACACATATTCTCTGCTCTTGGTTTATGTGTGTTTCCTCCTCCCCCTTAAATACATGAGGCTCGGCTCCCTGTCACCATCTGCTGCACCTCCAAGTGTTCTTTTATGGGTGCAGGGCAGGTTCCAGTGCTGGGAGACTTACACGTTCCGCTAAGGGTAGGACGGACTCTAGCATCTGCCTGCGCAGCAGGAGGCCCATAATAAGGAGGCAGGAAGCCCCCGGCACCCCCCCAAACCACAGGGCTGAGAGTCCTACCTGGGACGGAGGAGGCACCTGTGTGTTGAAGCCTCAGGTGCTTATGGGCACACCCCGAAGCTTCACCTCCTGGGGCCGAGAGAGAACAAGTCTGCACTTCACAGCGCCTCTGAAGACATCTGACGGACTCAGCACCTTTGAATGTTCTATTGGACCCACTTGTGACCTGGTTATTGTTTGGGACAACTGGGGCTTCTTGTCCCCGAGTCAATTCCCATTTTTCCAGGAGAAGTTGGCTTATTTACAATTTCTTTGTACTCGTTCATGTCACTTTAGACAGGTAGAGACTTAATAGGACAAAATACCTGCGGATAAGCTTTTCCCTACTTATTAAAGTCAGCAAAAATAACTGACATTTCACTCTATTCACCCTTCTTTTACATGAAAATGATTACAACTAGAGTTTTATGCACCTTGCCATAGTCTTCTGAGTCTCATAAAGAACTCTTAGTCTTTCACAATTACTTCAATTCACTGTATTACCATTGTTGTTGTTGTTGTTGATTCATAAATTGTTACAATTTGCTTCTTTGTTCTCTTAACACTACCCCCGACACTCTATTTTTATTAAATTTATTAGGGTGACATTGGTTAATAAAATTATATAGGTTTCAAGTATATAGTACATTTTCTGTGTGTTCACCACCCCAAGCCAAGTCTCCTCCCATCACCATTCATACCCCTTTACCTTCTTCTGCTACCCACTCTCTTCTCTCTGGCAATCACCATACTGCTGTCTGCATCCATGAGTCTTTCTTTCTTTTTTCTTTGCTTAATCCCTTCATCCTTCTCACCCGGTCCCCAACCTCCTTCCCTCTGACAACTGTCAGTCCATGATACCCTGGATATTCTTAAATCATCAGAGAGAAACTAGGTAGGAGTGAGTACAGATGAGTGCTGGCTTTGCTTCTGTTGGCCCAATTTTAGTGTCAGAACTGGGAAAAATGTGTATTAAGAGAATGCATTTCCTCAATTTAACAGAACATATTGCTGTCCCTCTTCTTATGGTATGAGGTTTCCATTGGCCATCAAGGTGTTCATTTATATTGATGTATTTACACCCAGAATTGAAAATACCTTTAAGCCCAGCTGTGGGCTGTCAGCCCAGGTGAGATGGGCAGACTCCCTGGTGAACGGTATTGCCACAGGTGCCAGGTGCACTCTGCGGGTGCGATATTGCACCAGGTGCTGTGAAAAGCAAAGTGACATATGAAATATGGCCCATGGCCTCCAGGAACATACAGAAATCACTTATGTGGGTGAAACAATGAGAAAATGATATAAACCATCATTTAACCAGCGCTTGCTGAAACTGGTGGTACAAGCAATAGATGGTGAAGGAGTTGAGAGAAGTGAGAGTGTGAGGAGAAGCAGGAGGGCTTGGGCCACCTTGAAGAATGCTTGAACTTTAGACAAATGCCAAGGTGCATTCTTATCACTGGAAACCACCTTCCACACAGAATCAAGCATCCTGTGGAGCATGGTGTTAGGTTGTATATGAGGCTGCTGACAAAAGGATCACAACAGAGACACTGGCATGTGGGGAATTTAACATGGTGCCCAAGAATGAGAGAAAATAGGATTTTGTTGTCTTTTTGAAATGGCGGTGAGAAAGAACATGACAGCAAGGTCAGAAACCCATTCCATGCAGTTCACAGAAGGAAATACTTTAGAGTCCATTAGGAGTCTAGAGACCCTTGTCACTTCTACCTCATAATGCATTTCGAAACAACAGAAGGCCAGTGATCCTGCTTCCTGTTTGGCTGACCCATCCTTCTCCATGTACCACCAAATGCTCCTGCACGTACCTGTTCCATTGCCAGCTCTGTGCATTTAGCTTGCTCTGCTCGGCCTGGGAATATCCTGCCTCTGGTGGCACCTCTGTGTGCTTTCTTGTCCCCACTGCTTCCAACTGATTTCTTTCCTCCATGGTGTTCTCACAGCATTTCATATGAAACCTCTGTGCTACTATCTATCTCACATATTATTATTGTCTCTCTACTTATCTGCTTCTTCATAGTTGGTGAATACGTTAGGAGATGTACCTTATGTATTCTCATCTGTAATCCAAGTGTCTAAGCACAGTATTTTACACTCACTGTGTAGTCAACAGATATTTGTTGGATGAATTGATAAATGAATGAGTGAATGAATGAGTGGATACATGAATACATGCCTCAGGATTGACCCTTAGGTGACTCCATGGCATTGATGTATGCTTTTGGATTTGGTCATTCTTTGTTTTTGACCTTGATAGAGCTACCATTAATTTACATGCATTAAATTGGCAAGATGAACAGGTAAAATGTCATCCCTAAATTCATAGACCAGATCTTAGTTTCTCTTGGTTTTGGTTGTAATATTTCTAGCCCAGCCTTGTTTTGATAAGAAAAGGGAGACCTGGGAAACCAGCTGCAAATCACTTGATTTAATATGTCAAGTCATCATTTAACAACTTCAGAGAGGCAGAACTTGGCGATCCAGAGACTCGATCATTAGGCTGTACTAGGAGCAGAATCTTCTAATGTTTGCTAAAGCTCTTTGCTCCAAGATGGCTTCCAAGTGCACAACTGAAAGCAGAGAAACTCAGAGGTCTCATGTCCACCTCCAGGGCTGTGACAGTTCTGAAATGATTTGTATACTTGGTTGTATCAAGTCGTATGTCCATGGCTAGCATGTCTTTGGAGAGCATTTGAGGTCTTTGGAGATGATGGGAAATCTTTGGGGAAGGTCAGTAACCCAGCTGCCACCTGACCCTACCTGGAAGGAGGTGGTATTAAGGAGGGTGGTTGTCTCTGTTTTTGCTTTCTTCTTGGTACCATTTTTTAAACAATAGGTTGAAAAATAGTATAAAAAATTAACAATGAGTGAATAATTCCCATTCTATGGAAGTTTCTATTGGAAATGTGTGCTTCTTATCAGCCTTTTTTGTTTTCTTGTTTTCTAGTGGTTTTTGGCTCTTGATCCACAGAACTCCCCTGGTCACTGCTTTAACACCCCAAATTGTTACAAAAAGGCAAAGAAGATGTTATCACCAGAAATATCAGAGAAGACTTCTTTCTATGCCTAAACATATGCAGATTTATCTATAACTATATACATTAAAATATATGACTAGAATCATACTATACATACTATTTTGCAGTGTTCATATATGCATGAGTGTATGCATACATACATATATAATTAAAATTACAAAGTATTCTATTTTATGAATGTGAAATAGTTTACTAAGCAAAAGCTGTTTGGAAAGATATTTTGCTTGCATCCAGCATTTCACTATTATAATTAATATGCAAAAAATATCCTTGGCCACATATCTTTGTGTTCTTCCCAGATTATCTTCTTAGGAGAAATCCTTGGGAATAATATAGCTGGATCAGGAAATGTGCATGTGTGAGTTTTAAAGAGATTTTCAAATTGTCCTCCAGAAAGGTTGGCTAATTTCTACCCCTGCCAACCGTAAATAATAGTGTCTATTCCTCTCCCCCTCACCAATAGAGGATTGTCAGGGTTATTCACATTTATCAGACAGAGAGCCACAAATGATATCAATTCACTTTTTGGGAAGCTTACCAGTAAAGTTTAAAATCTTTTCTTGTGATAATTGACCATTTATTTCTGTTTATCCTCTGTCTTTCACATTTTTAAATCAGAGTTCTTATTTTCATTTTAATAATTTGAAGAAATTCTTTGTATTAACCTTTTGTTGGCCCAAATGTAGCAAATAGATTCCTCAGATTTTCATTTATTTTCAAGATTTTACTTTTACTATATGAAGACATTTGAGTTCTATGTAGTCATGTCTATCAATCTTTCCATCATACTTAGATGGAAATTTTCCACCAAAATTAGAGAGTGCATCACCACCTCAAGAGTATAAAAACTCAGTCTGGTCCCTGCATACTGCCCAGACAGAGAGTAGGGACTACTGTCATCTTTCCCAACTCTGTCTGCAGCCTTTTGAGCAAGAGCCTCTCATTTCCACTGTTAGGTACCTCTGATTCTCAGAAATTAATTTTATTACCTGACATCATTCCTGAGAAAAAGTCAAAAGCTCTATCTCATTTGCCACATTCCAGGAACTCTGACCCCTGAGCTCATCATATCGGTTGTGTTCTCTGGGTTGGGGATGAGCAACGAGCTCTTGCTGAAAGATTTGGCCAACTGTACTTGAGAAGCTTATTGTTGGTATTTTTAATTCTAAAAATATTATAGTATGTGGTACTATTCACTTGGAAGAGTGGATTTTCACATGGTGAACAGTTACCCAGAGTCCCACCATCTTTGCCATTGGTAACATTTTAGCATGTTTCCTTTTACTTCTTCACCATATACATTTTTGTGTAATTGAGGTCATGTTTATGTGCAATTTATGTGATGCTTTTTCACTCAACACCATATTATTAAGGGTATTTTTAAAGTCTTTTAACTAGTTGATTGTTTTATTCTGTAGGTAAATCAACTATTCTCCTATTGTTTATTATTTGGGCTGTGTCCATTTTATTTTTGCAATTACAAATCAGGTTAAAATAAATATTTCTGTATGTAAATCTCTGCCCACAATTGCATTGAGGGATATAACTGACTTTTAACACAATTGATTTTCACTGTTAAATTTCATTCATGGAGGGAAAAGGTTGTAAAAATTCATAACCCAACCAAAGGGATAGGAGTGAATATGAGAGAATGATTATGTCTATTTAATACTATTATTATATCAGTGCCAAGTTGAACTAACTGGGGAAACTGAGACATGGATAGATAAAGTTGTCTTGTTGTTGGTAATGCTATCAATTGTGTTTGGCGTTGGGAATCTGTTGTCCTCTCCACCAGCCAGTACATTTCCTACTGCACTAGAGACCCATGGAAATGTGCTATCCTTGAAATTAGACCAGGAGCTCAACAGCACCATAAAAGCTTCTCGTGGTGCCTGGCTCTTTCCTGTATTTGGTCTTCCCCTCCAATAAGGGGTGGTATGGCCAAAATCACCAAACCGGATCCATGTTTGCCTTGCAAACCAAACAAACACTTCTGTTTCTGTTTTGCTTTGTGTCTGGACCGATTCTTAGCGCCTCTTCTGCCTGTGAGTGATTTGTCACTTCTGCAAGACTGGCACCAGCAGAAATGCAGTCTCAGAGGACCCCTGGGAGAAAGCGAGGCCGACCCCCACTTCACTCAACGCCCGTGAAGATGGCAGTTCATAACCTTTATTCTGCGTCAGCTGGCTCGTTACCGGCAGTGAAGATCCCAAAGAAAAGAGGGCGGAAACCTGGGTACAAGGTATGGCTCTCCATCACCCCCTTTCTCCAAAGTGCTGTCGGGCTGGGGCACGGGTGCCTGGGCAGAGCTCTGCTGGGGAATGTGAGGAAAGGTGGGGAGCTGGGTAAAGGCCTTTCTGTCAATGGAACTGTAAGGGACATGCCCCGTGGTTACACGATGCTTGCTGTTGCTGTCATGTGCATTTTCACAAGTGGACAAAGCAAATGACACCAGATGGGGGAAGCTGTAAGGCGAGACCACTTTAGGGTCAGAGCTAAAGACACATTATGCAGCCTCACATCTAAATTAATGTTTCGGACACCGAACTTTCCCCTGACTGCCTTTTGGGGCGGCTCTGGAAACCACTTCCCAGAACTCATTCGTCATTTATTTTAGTAGAAGCAGATGATGTCCCCGAGTCACTTACACTAATCATGAGAGCAGGCTAGTGTCAAAGGACCCAGACGAGTTTTCCCCACTAGAGCCTCAGTCAGGGGACTCATCCTGAAAATGCTGGGTGTGAACTCATGCTTTCCTGCTTGTAAAAGGTATTGACGTCATTTGGCTCCAAGGAGGTGTCTCAGGCAAAGTTAAAATCCTGTGACCCTTTTACAAATTAAGATTTGGAGAGGCTGGGGGTGGAGGTTAAATTCTCCACCGTAACTGCAGTCATGGAAAGCAACCCAGACCCGCGGATGAGCTGCTCCTCTAAGATAGGTTTGCAGATGCTACTGGAGAGGAAAGATGAGCGATGCCCCACAAGCCTTTGGGCATCAGAAAATGAGCTTCAGAAGTTTCCCTTTGTTCACTTGTCTTGAAATAAAGAGCTTAAGTTTCCATCTTGAGATCTGAATGCTCAAACCAAAATGCAAATTGGCAATTAACTCGCATAGATTTAGGGAAATGTATGGAAATTATTTCAGGTCAGCAGAAAGACAACGCTTCCGAAGAGCTGGTTATGAATTCAGCCTTTATCCTTTTGGTTCTCTGCAGTTCTTCTAATTGCTGGAAATGAAAAATGGTAGGTGGGGGGGGGAAGTGACTCAAAGTTATTTGGGGGTTGTTGGTTTTAATAAAAGTTTTTAGGTAGAGTCTTTTGTCACTGGTTATTTTAAAAAATATATTTTTATTAATTTCAGAGAGGAAGGGAGAGGGAGAGAGAGATAGAAGCATCAATGATGAGAGAGAATCATTGATTGACTGTCTCCTGCATGCCTCCAACGTTAGATCAAGCCCACAACCCAGGCATGTGTCCTTGACCGGAATTGAACCCGGGACCCTTCAGTCCACAGGCCGATGCTCTATCCACTAAGCCAAACCAGCCAGGCCTGTCACTGATTATTTTTCTAATGTAGGGAGCCCCCTTTTTCTCATGGGCACCACAGATCCAGAACTGTGTCTCTGAAGCTGGCCCGGGGCAGGTCTCCCGCTCAGCTACCTGCACAGTGGCCCAAAACTGGGAATTGCATCTGGAAGGCTGGACCAGGCAGCCTTTCTGTTTATAGAGCCAGGGAGCAAATCCAGGAGCCGAAGAAGAAACACACTGAAAACTTTTCTTTTCTGTTTGGCCTTTCTCCCACTCCCCTGGGAGCTGTGACCCAAGAATGAAAATTACTGACAGACACAGCATTTCTGGAGCCAGGAAAAATGGAAATTCACTCCATGGAATGAACCCGACTTTGCAATTTTCCTGTCTCCTATAAAGGGCAGTTTTCAGTGCTCCTAACACTCAGAGACACCTCAGGGCAGGAAGAAAGCTTTGGGGATGCTAAGTAGGCACTACAGGCCCTGCACTAAGTAGGCAGGTCTCACGCCCATGCCTCATAGAGTTTTGCTTTGGGGACAACGGGCCACAGCTCTTCCTTGAGTCCACCTCCCATATACTTGGGGAAACGGGTGGGAATTACTTCAGGCCACCAGCCTCCCAGACAGCTCCCCAAGCGTCAGAGAATAATGGCTCCAAACCAGGTGCCTGTCTGCATGAAGTTCTGACCCACTCATGACCTGGGAAAAATAAGAACCATCTGAAAGGCTCATAAAGCCAAAATGATTCCACTTAAAGGATTATCCTTTACTCTGACATATCTGCTTCCTACTATTTTGGTGTTAAAGTTTATTTTATTTTATTAAGTGTTGTATGTTGTCAGGACTTGCTAATTTTAAAAAGGTCCTATTTGGCGAAATAAAGTTGGCAAACTATTAAGTCTCTCCAGTTTTATGTTGACGGTTTCTTAGACCCTGAAGCCCCCTTTACTATTAACAAAAAGGTTTTAATTGTGGAGAAGCTAGCAAGGAAACTATACGGTTTCATTACATTTACCAAATAATCACTAATTTGGCAATTTTAACCATCTGGGACAACAGTTGCAGAGCCAGAAGTTGCTAAAAAAATGCTGAGCAAGCAAAATAAGATATTACTTGTTCTACTCTTAAAGTTCTCGTATTTTATTACTAAGAACATGCTTTCGAGCCCTCCCTGAGTTTGTTTACTTTACTGTAGACACATTTCTTATAAGCTCGATTATAGCAGTTTATTAATAGCCTTAGATTTGAAGGGATGATGTTTGGGGGGAGAAGACTACACACACAGCTGGACACCGAGGGAATAATAATAATTATCATCATAATTCTATGATAATGTGTTAATAATATAGAACAATAAAGTATGCAATAATATTACCATTATAAAATAATAAATAACATAACTTTGTCATACCAGTAATAACATTATGGCATATTTATACTGCCAATATTATCATAATAAGAAGTGTTGGAGCCTTCGGCAGGGCAGGCTCGGCAGACTCGCCCCCAGGAGTTCTGAGAACAGCTGGCGGTGCTGACTGTATCACAGATCTGTGCTGCTTGCTGTCTGTCACTTCGTGCCTGGCGCTATCCCCAGCTGCTCTGTCAGTCATGTGGTCCTGCACATGTGGAAACTCTCTCTGGTCCAAGTAGGGAGCAAGCTTCTTGAAGACCAATAATCCAGGTGGTGACATTTAACCCCTTGTCTGAGTCTTGAGAATAACATGAGTGAATTATGGGCAGGAAAGGGAAAGTTCAGCTGGCTGTCAGTGCTCCAGAGTTCATAGGTCGTGGCTCCTCCCAGGGCCCATCTGGCCACCTCTCTCTTCGCCCTGGCTGACAGCCACGTTGCTGGGACAAGCTCACTGCTGTGAGAGGATCATTATGGCTTTACTGTCCCCTTCTCACCCAAGTCAAAGGAAGAAAACACCTCTTAACATTAATTTTCTCTGAAGAGCTATAACCTGACTACCATGCAAAAAGTTATTTTACATCTCATTTGTAGCATCTGCTATTGATTTAGGTCCTTTGTTCAGAGACTTCCCAAGGTCAACAGGTAGACTCCATGACTACAAAAACGATCGAAGTCTTTTTTAGGAGATAAAGAGAGAGGGTCTGCACCAAGGAGAAGCCCTAGCTCCCATTCTGTAGACCCAGATGACTCCATGTCTGCACGTAGTGGGATTTTCCATTTCTGTGTCTTTATGATTGGAATTCTGATTTAAGCAGGAAAAAGAGTACTGGACTTTTAAAATAGCCATTTGTCTCCAATACATAATAATAATAATGAATACTAATAGCAATGATATGTAACATTTGTTGAGCATTTCTATGTTTGTGGTTCTAGCCAAAGCACTTTATGTGTATTTTCTTATTTGATCCTTGGTGGTTTGATAGTAAGGGGAGTTAGAAAAACTGCAGGAATTAGGCATGAATCAACCAACCCCCAGAGCCTGAGGCCACTTACTGTCAGGCTAGCAGCCCTCTACCTGTTCACTATCTCTTTGTATTATTATTCAGATTAGTAATTCTGATTTAAAAAAAGTAAATTATGTTCTGTCTTCTCTGTTTAATGAGTTAGAAAAGTGTAACATGTTCTAGAAAGAATTTCATTCCTGAAATATTTAAAAATATGGTTAAAATGTTCTTAAGTGTTGGCAGTTATATTATTCAGGATACAAAGTCAGCTGCTGTAATGGTGGCTTAAAGACAATAGAAGCTAATAATTTCTTTCTCGTGTTAAAGTCTGGGAAGACCATCTGGTACTGATACAATGACTTGCTGGTATTGGGGACCCGGGCTCCTTCTATATTGTTGCTCTGCCATCTTAACAAAAGTCCCTGCTTCATGCTCTTAAATGGCTCCTCCAGTTCCTACTATCCCACTCATCCAGGACAGAGCTAGTGGAAGCATGTCTTTCCCCTTTAAGGGCCCAGCCCTTAAAGTTGCACACACCCCTATACTTGCATCTAGCTGGCCAGACTTAGTTACTTAGCCTTATTTAGCTCCAAGGAAGATGGGAAAATGTAGTTCTGGGTGACCAGGTGATGAGCTAAACTTCAGGGGTTCCATTATTAAAGGAATCGGGAGCATGGATATTTGCGAATAATCAGCAGCCTTGGCTAACTAAGTACTTAAAGGACAGTCTTCTGTTTACTGGAAATTTTACTTTTAAAGAAAGTAATTTTTTAATGACTATGGGTAAACTCAACATTTTGTTTTGTTTCCCTTTTCTTATTGTCATCTCCCCTTGCACCCTAAAGTATATACTCTTGGCACTGAGTAATAAGAAGTCAAATTCACAAAAATCTCAATTAGGAGAATGTTCAAATTTAAGAAGACAGGGTTTTGTTTGTTTCAATACTTCTTTGAAGCATCTTTCTAAAATGTGTTTTCGTTAGAAATGTTGAATTGGCTTCAATGCTTCTTTGATTAAACAGATCGTATATGCTTTAAAATCTTATATATGAGTACTAAATGCAGCTTAATAGTAGGCAAGGGAAGAATTGATATTTAATAACTTCCGGTGCCTAGTTTTAAGGCCCCCCTCTTGCTGATAGTTGGTATGGAGTGCCACCTGTGGTTCATGGCGGAAAATGATTACACAGGCACAAGGCAGGGGCCATTCCCTCTGGCTGGACGGTGTGCAGCACCGATGGCAGGGACTCTCTCCTTGGACTTCTGTAGCCCCCCCAGTCCCCACCCCAGGGCTGGAGCGGGGGTCAATATTGGGCTCAGCCATAGGTCAGGGGCAGTGGTATGCTGGCAGATGTTTCTAGCATTCTGAGTGTAGCTCCCGTGTGAATGTTAGCTGATATTTTCACAGATGTTAAGGAGTAAGACAAATGTAAACAGTGAAGTTGTATGTTGGAACTTCTTTCATCTGTCAAGGATGTGAGTTCTTTGCTGAATTGGATAATATAGTTTTGAACTCACAAAACATTTCAATATCTTGTCCTATTTACAGTGTAACAGCTACAGACAAGACACACTTTTAAATTTAACTTGGATTTTTAACATTTTCTTAAATCTATAAATCAGTAAAATAATAATTCCAGTCCTAATTTGTAGCATTTACCAATTTCCAAGGTCTAAATATTCCCAATATGGCCAATTTCAAGTCACCAGTGTGATGTCTCTGAACATGGTTTTGGGAAAACATGTGCAGCAACCCACCCTTGCATCTGTATTTCCATGAAGATGCAAATGTAGAATAATTGGAAAATGATGAGTTTTGAGTATCTATTATCTTTGTCTTTAATATACTTTAATTAATTCTCTAAGTACATATATTCAGTCATTTTAAATAATGGCTGTATTTAACATTCAACTTGCAAGATGACTGAAAATCTAACAGTCATCTCTGTGGACCCGTATAAGCTGGCTCCAGCTCCCCCTGCTCAGAGTTCTGCTGTGCACGATGCCTGTAGCAGGATGTCCCCTGTCCCCTCTTCATCTGCAGGGCTGGCTGGTTTGACCCATGCCTGCTGATACACAGAACTTGGCCCCTCACCAGTTTCTGTAAGAAACCCAGTCACACCAAGCATTCCTTGAAATATGTTGTCTCTACTGCAGATTGTTGGGGTCACAGGACACAGTGGACAGGATACCACCAAATAATTCTCACAGACAGATCTGGTGTTTTGAATTCCACTTTATCCAGTGATGGAGTCTTTTTTTTTCCCTTTTTCTTCCATCTTTCTCTGCATGCCCATTGAGTACTGACTTCATTGTCTCCTCATTTGGCTTCCCTCTGTCAGGAGGAAATGCAACCATTCCTCCCAGCCCACCTCGGGTAGAGCAGCAGCACCCCGTCCTCCCTCCCTCCCCCTTCACCCCTGCTGTACCTCAGCAGTTTCAGTGCCATTCAGGGCCCAGAGGAGAATCTGAACCCAATGCAGTGTTGGTGGGGAAAAGCTCCAGCTTTCACACCCTCTACTCACCTCATGTGCACCTCTGAAAGGCGTAAGGACACCGGGCCATTCCCTTCCCACATCCAAGCATCCCCTTCTGTCTTCACTGCGATGCAGGCGGTGTATTGTATTGGGATAATATGTTTCCTTAGGGAAGTTTCAGTGCAAATGCTTCTCAACTAGGATCTTGGATTTGACTGACATGTTGCCCAAGCAGGCCTCAAGGCCAAAGGATACTGGCTCCTCCTTCCTTTGGTGTTTGACCTCTCCCCCAAATGCAGGGAGGAAAAGGTATGAGTCGGCCCCAAAGCAAGCTGACTCCTAGGAATGGAATTAAGTTCTTGGCTACAAACTTCTTGCTATTGGAGCTGATTTGCATTTTCAACAGGTAGGTTTTTAGACCAAAATCTGAGGTTAGACACTGTGAGGTATTCAATTTCCCCGAACTCTGCTCCCTACAGCACATCCTCAGAACCCTGCCCAGGGATAGGGGGTATGAAGGAAGAGTAAGCCTAAAGGAGGAATCCCCAAGGAAAACTATAGGCAGGGACAGGGACAATGCTGTCCTTATCAAATAACATGGGGAGGGGAAAGAAGGGAGGGAGAACATGATTTAAAAAAAAAAAAAATCTGGTATATTAGTTTGCTAGGGCTGCTGTAACAATAAAAGAACAAATTGGGTTGCTCTATTGTCTCCGACCATAGAAATTTATTGTTTCGCAGTTCTGGAGGCTAGAAACCTGAGACCCAGGCATTGGCTGGGTTGGTTCTTTCTGAAGCCCATGAGGCAGAAGCGTCCCCAGCCTTTCTCAGCCTTTCGCCAGAGCCCGGCCTCAGCTCCATCCCTCAGGAGTTCTTACTTACTACGATTTTATAAAGTTAACCTTTCTCTTACTTCTTCCAGCTGACCAATTCTCTCCTCAGCTATGTTTCATATGCATTAAATCTGTCCATTTAGCTTTTAATTTTAGTTATTGTATTTTTCGTTTATAAAAGTTAAATTTGGTTCTTTTTCAAATTTGCAATGCTATTTTTTACAGTTTTCTGTTCTCCAGAGATATTTTCAAGTTTGTCCTTTATATCTTTATACATTGTATCGCAGTTGTTTTTGTTATTTTAAACTATTGGTGAGTTTTTTGCTACATGTTTTTATTGCTTATTCTTATTTTGGTTCCTTGCTTCCTTGTGTGTTTGGATATTTGGATCGTGCTATTCATTGATTGGGGGAGGGGGGGTGAGACCTTTCTCCAGAGATGATTTATATTTACTTTTCCAGGTAATGGGGGTGGGGTGGGGTGGGGATGCAGGCAGGAAAGACTGACGCAGGGACAGGAGCTCGCTTACCTTCGCTTTCGGGGTCAACAGACAGTTTCTGTAAAGGCTCAGAAGGTAAACGTTTCAGGCTTCTGGCCCATCTGGTGTCTGTCACAACGACCCAGCTCCGTGGGTGCAGCCTACACACAGTCACAAGACACCCCAGAAACGCTCGGGCGCGTCTGCCATCTAATAGCCGTCCTTTAGAGAGGCAGGCGGGGGGGGGGGGGGGGGGGGGGGGGGGGGGCGTGGAGGGGGGAGGAGCACTGTCAGATTGAGTGATTTTTTAACTAAATTCACAGTCTGAAGTTTTCTTGATTACCCAAGTTGTGTAACTACCACCCAGGAAATATTCTGGTAGGGTGTAGAGAGCATTCCAGATTTCCATTGACCAAATGGGCTCTCTCTTGCAGCTCAAGTCTCCGGTTCTCCTGACTCCGTTGGCCCTCTCACCTCCGCGGAGTACGCCAGAGCCCGACCTCAGCTCCATCCCTCAGGACGCAGCCACCATCCCCAGCCTGGGAGTCCCTCAGGCGCTCACAGGTAGGTCAGGAGAATGAACTCCAAGGCTGTGATGGCCTGTCCATCATTTAACAGTTACTTTATGAATTAGAGAGCTGTCACGGACATAGCTCAAATAAAGGATTTAGTCTGTTAGCTAGACAGTAGGTAGGATGACCAGATTCTCTGAGAACATGAGTGTAAATGTCTCATAGTCCGGATTATTTGAAACTTGGTTTTCAGTGTATCTGGGGTTCAGCTGGTTGCCTTGGGGTGGGACTAGTTGGTGGCCTAGATTTTTCTTTCCAGAGCCAGGTTTACTTTGCACCAATACTGAGCCTGCGCACCTTGAAGCGTTTCCACCCCTATTTGCACTTCCAGATCTCCCAAGGATCCTAGTCTTTAATTCCACCTGGCTCCTTCCAATCCAGTCAGGGTAGCACTCACCCCGTGTCTCTCATGGGACATTCACCCACCAACAGTTCCGTGGTAAGAATAGCAGCAATCAGATTTTGTCACACACACACACACACACACACACACACACACACACACACACACACACGGTCCGTCCTCATCACAACCCCAGTGCACTGCCCTCTCCCTTCCCACCTAAATTCCTTCGTTCTCCTCCCATTTGTGGCTAACAAGGCCCTGTAAGTTCCCTCCCTCTGTGATCCAGCCCACTGCTCTCCTTAGTCCCTGGGGCCCCCCCACAGGATCTTAGCATAGTTCCTTCTCTCCAACTGGAATGATCTTCCCTCTGGTCATCCTATGTCTCCCTTGGATCTCAGCTCAGTCACACCTGCCTCCTTCATGGGCTTCTTGCCAGGGTCCTCAGGGAGTCTCAGGCCTGGGACCGCGGTGGTGGCCAGGGTCTATGCTCCATCTGTGGGCCTCCAGGGCCCTTCATGAGCCTGTGTGCCGAAGGCTTCTCTCAGGGCTCTCCTAGCACCAGTGTTTCTCACAGCCCCAGTCCCACATCAGCCCTGTGACTCTCTGAGAAGCCTGTCTCCCCGCTGAGCCCTGTGGAGCCAGGGACCTCATTGGCTTGGGTCACCATTTTCTCTGTAAGGCCTAGCATGGTGTCTGGCATGAAGGTTCTTATTAATTACATTTACTTATCACCTGGGATGAGTAGAAGAGAAGGCAGCCTGGTAGATTGAAAAGGGCATAGGCTTTGACCTCAGAAAGGTTCGGGTCCGAATCCCTGTTACTCCACTAATTACAAACACTAATCCCTCTAACCACGTGAAGCCTCAGTTTGTTCAGTAGTAAAGGAGGAATAACACCTAATTCCCAGCTTGTCTTAAAAATGAAACAAGATAAAATATATGAAGTGCCTGGAATATAATAAGCGGTCAATGGAAACCAGTTTTCTTCACAATTGTTATTACTGTTCAGTAACCCTGTCGGTGTCCTCTTAAAGTCCCTCTTCAGCTCTCCTTTGCATTAGTGTCCCCCAAGGCAAGGTGCTCATGCTCTGGGGCAGGGCTGGGGAAGGGGAAGGGCAGGGGGAGGAGTCAGAAGAAGAGAGTCGATGTGCAGAAGGAAAATATGATACCTATTATTAATATATATTTTTATCTCATCCTTTAACAATTTATTTTTCTTGGTTATGTTTTAAAATGTAAACAATACATTAATACAGACAAGACTGTATATGCCCTATAAATAAATAGATACATTTGGGGGCATGTGCTCAAACTATTTTTACTTTAGATCTGTGGAAAACCACTGATTGTGCTCACCTAAATAGTGGCTGAGTGATTATTGTCCCTGGAATTGTAAATAGCACTCTTTTCAGCAGTTGGAGACATAGTTTTTGGAGCAATCAACATGGTATTGATGTTTTTATTCATCAAAAGTGGCAGACAGTATGTGAAGCTTGACAGCTCCCTTGGAGAAGAAGGGAAGATTCTGTCTGGTACATGCCCCGCATGAAAATGCGCTTATACACGCTGTCCACACGGGCCTCCCTCCGTATATGTCAGATCTGAGTACATCACAGGGGTCCCACCTGTCCATCTGTCCCCAACCAGGAGGCCCTCTTGGGAACAAGCCCTGGCAGTGGGGGCAACTGGCTTCTTGTCTCTTTTACTTACTAAGTAGGAAGAATCACTCCCACTTGTGCCCCTTTTCAGCTCTCCAAGGTTAGGGCCAAGGGGCAGATGGGAGCAGCTCCCTGGCTGCTGTGCACTGGGGCTGAGGGCTTGTGGGTCTGTTTCCACAGTCTGCCTCTACATCAACAAGCAGGCCAACGCCGGGCCCTACCTGGAGAGGAGGAAGGTGCAGCAGCTCCCCGAGCACTTCGGGCCCGAGAGGCCGTCGGCGGTCCTGCAGCAGGCCGTGCAGGCGTGCATCGACTGTGCCCACCAGCAGAAGCTGGTCTTCTCCCTGGTCAAGCAGGGCTATGGTGGTGACATGGTCTCGGGTAAGGCTCCGGGGCAGGTTTACGAGGAGGGCCATGGGTATCTCTGAAGATGAAAGCAGCCATGCTCTGCCTAGGCCCTAGGGCAGGGATGGCGAACCTATGACACTCATTTTTTGGGTTGATTTTTCTTTGTTAAATGGCATTTAAATATATAAAATAAATATCAAAAATATACATCTTTGTTTTACTATGGTTGCAAAGATCAAAAAATTTCTATATGTGACACGGCACCAGAGTTAAGTTAGGGTATTCAAAATGCTGACACGCCGAGCTCAAAAGGTTCGCCATCACTGCCCTAGGGGGACAGTGGTTGTGGCCAGGGTCTGGTCTCTATCTGTTGGGCTCCAGAGCCCTTCATGAGCCTGTGTGCTGAAGGCCTCCTTCAGAGCTCAAGGAGAAGATGCTCCCACACTTGGACAAGAAGACCCCAACTCCTCTTTCTCCCACCCCCACCTCCAACCCTTCAGTAAGTCCTATTGCTCTAACTAAAATACACCCGGGCCCTAACCGGTTTGGCTCAGTGGATAGAGCGTTGGCCTGTGGACTCAAGGGTCCCAGGTTCGATTCCGGTCAAGGGCATGTACCTTGGTTGTGGGCACATCCCCAGTAGGGGGTGTGCAAGAGGCAGCTGATCGATGTTTCTCTCTCATCGATGTTTCTAACTCTCTATCCCTCTCCCTTCCTCTCTGTAAAAAATCAATAAAATATTAAAAAATAAAATACACCCGGAATCCAGCCCCTTTCACCACCCACAGCAACCACTCTGGTTCTTTAAAAATATAAGCCAGATCACGCCCGTACTCTGCCCTAAACCCTCAATGGCTCCCATTTCATGCTGAGAAAAAGCCCACATCCTTACAAGGGCCTACAGGCCCTATGTGACCTGGTCCTGGCCACCTCTTGGATCTCCTGGTCACTTCTCCCAAGTCCCCCACCCTGCCCTGGCCACAGCTTCCTCCTTGCTGTTCTTCCCGTGTCCTCCAGCCATGCTCGTGCCCCAGGGTCTTTGCACCTCCTGTTCTCTCTTTCTGGAATGTTCTTCCCCAGCTGTCCATGTGACTTGCTCCTGAACTTCCTTCAGGTTTTTACTCGAATGCCTCCTTATTAAAGAGCTCCTTCCTGACCAGCTTGTGTAAAATATCAGCTCCGGTCATTCTCTATTCTGCGTTCCTTTTTCATGGCACTGATCACCATGCAGGCCAACTCCATCTCCCAGGGCATGTTTTTTTAAACAAGAGCCTTCAAAGTCAATCCCTTCTCTCACTCTCATTGCCCATCTCCAGTTTCAGCCCCAACCCAACAGCTTCCAGAGGGAGCAGAAGTTGTCACCACAAGTAAGCGGTGGAATCAGGAGCTCTGCCTCCTTTAGATGTCTTACTGGAGGCTGTCTGCACAGTGGTTGTCACCACCTGTCCTTAAGCCCTGGGGATGTCTTGACTCTAAGGGGAGAGCTTGGTGTTTTCTCTGGCCCAACATCATGGGCACAGCCTCCATATCAGCAAGGAAAAGGAATAAGATTCCCAGCAACGGGTCCGTGCAGGTGACCCTGCTGGCCGGCTAAGAATGGGGGAAAGAAGACTCCAATGTGGCTCCATCCTGAAGAATCAAAGCATTTATTTATTTATTTATTATTTCTTTATTTACTTAATCTTTATTGTTGAAAGTATTACATATGCCCCCCCCCCTCTTCTGGCCTGCCCCCACCCCCTGCCCTGGGCCTTCACCACCCTATTGTCTGTGTCCATAACTCCAGATCCCTAGGGCTTGGGCTGGGCAGGGTGTCCCACAGCCTCCCCAGCTCTGACTGTTTCAGGCCACCTTCTAGAGCTTCCTCTGAGCAGGAAGCTGGGCCTGACTTGCTGGTAGTGGATTAAAATAGAGCTTGGCTAGGTCCAAGCGCATGTGTCTGACCCAGGGTGACTTTTAAGAGACTTTAGCAGATGTGAGCAGAGATAGAAGTGCTGCACCAAGAGAGGCCAGGAGGAGAGACCTGTTGTGAGGCCTTCCAAGAGCCTCTTGGCTGTTCTCCTCCTAGCTTCTGTCTGAGAGCCAGGTTCTGTCCTGGGCTGCAACCTGAGATCAAAAGCCTTGTCCTTTTCCCTGCTAAATAGCAGGGCTCAACACACAGGTGCTAAGAGAAAGCTCCTCCCTACTGTGTGCCCACCTTCTTGAGCAAATCCCACCTGGCTGATTCTTTATGGCTCCTTCCCCCAAACCTGGGAGAGCTGACCTCGTTTTCCCTGCTTTCTTGCTCAGCCTTTCTGTGGCCTCAGGGGCCTTGGTGCTGGGAGGAGCTTCGGTACTGCCTGGCACCAATGTGAGTGTGGGCAGAGCCTTGCCAAGTTTCCCTTGGCTGAAGGATTCCCAGGAAGGCCAGAGCTGAGCACTTGGACTTAGTGTCTTGGAGAATGCAGTGGCACCGAGGGGACTCCTTGTGCCACCACATTGAGGCCAAGAAGTGGCAAGGTGGCCTTTCATGTTACTGGTGGTGCTTGGAAACTCAGCAAGGCTAAGTGCCAGCACTGAGGTAGTTTAGGGAAGGACTCAGGAGAAATAGCCAGACCCCCTTCCCTTCTTCCCACCCCCACTCTCAAATAAGAACTTGGTCCTTGGGGCACTGCTTTCCAAATATTCTCATGGCAGAATACATAAAGAATGGTGACACTGGTGCCGGCACAATGGGCCAAAGGAACCAAACTGCTGGGCCTCAGGGAGCAGTCCTGCTGTGCCCACACCCCCTCCTTGCACACCTGCTGGGATGCTCTGCCTTACGGCCCTCTCCCACAGGGCTAGACTTTTTGATCTCACGAATCCATGTCCTCCTCCAGGAGGTGGAATTTTCCCACTTATGTGATCTCCCAGGCTCCTCCAGGAAAGTATGCACACTGATTTATGGGACAGACCTGATGCTCCAGGCCCTCCCACTGTGTGTTCAGTTTCCAACACACCCAGTCTTCTATGGTATTGGAGGCGGGCAACAATACCCACACTAGGAAGGGATTGTGAGGGCATCTGAATGGCCAAGATGACCCCTTGGTGAGCATCTTGGGAGCTCCTTGGCTGTCTCTCTTAATCAGGGTCACCTGGAGCATTAAAACGACAGGCAAGTCCACTTAGAGGCCACAGGAGCTGGAAAAACCAGGCCCTCTGCAGTGTCCTCATCTGTAACATGGGGCAACCTTTTCACTTTCCTCACAGGACAGTCAGGAGGCCTAAAGGAGGTCATGGATCTGAAAGCTCTTGCCACACATAAAGAGCTATACAAAAGAAATGGATTATTTTGATTTCTAATTAAAATGGGTATTTTGTTTATTTTTAGTTTTGAAATAAAAACTAGCTCTGATCACCTCTTATATCTCCCAAAAGCTTAGCCTTGCTGAGTTTCCAATCACCATCAATGCCTAAATATCATGGTTTCTAAATATCAATCTTCAGTAAATGGAACCAGGGCTGCTGAAGAAACGGCTGATTTTAGGGCTGGGTCAGAGAAAGACAAGATGAACCTGGAACATATTGAAGTAACAGTAACTAAAGAGTTGCTAAAAAATGAGGGCATGTCATAGGGACACAGGATTCATCCTGAAAGCTTGAACAATTTGATCAACAAAGTATTGGATAACCACAGTACAAAATAAATACAATGAGTCTGTACTGGTAATAATAAATGATTGATTGAATGAATGAATGAATGAATAAATAAATAAATAAATAAATAAATAAATAAATAAATAAATAAATAAATAAATAAATAAATAAATAAATAAATAAATAAATAAATAAATGGAAGAGAAGAGACTTTTTCCTTCTAGAAGGATTACATATGCTACAGAGACTCTCCCCTTTCAGAAGGTATAGCTTAATCCCTCCCCTACCCTGGAGTGGGCAGGACCTTGTGACTTATTTGTAAGGCAATAAGAAATTGGGGTGTACAGTGGAGAAGTGTAGCAAACACTGTGGTGGCCAGGTGAAGGTTAAACCCCAGTGATGTCGTGTGGATGTCATGTACACCTAACCTGTTGCAATGAGGAAGGCACTTCACTTCTGTGGTCTTCCTCCCCAAAACTCATCACCCCAGTCAAACAATGAGGCAAAATTAGACAAAACCAAATAGAGGGACATTTTACAAAATATCTGACCAGTGTGCATAAAACTATCAAGGTCGTGGAAAACAAGGAAAAGCTGAGAACTAGTCACAAACCAGTGGAGTCTAAGGAGACACCACAACTACCCGCAATGTGGTCTCCTGGATGACATCCTGGAACAGAAACAGGACATTCGTGAAAAAAACAAACAAAAATAAACAAACAGGTGGAAACCAATATTACGGTAGCTAGAAACAAAACAGCCAACAAACCCCTCTGCCCCAGGCCTGAGGTGTGTGGCTTTCTCCAGTGCCCGGCTCTGAGTTGCTCTCTGGTTTTCCAGTCTCGGCGTCCTTTGATGGGAAACAGCACCTGCGGAGCCTGCCTGTGGTGAACAGCATCGGGTATGTCCTCCGCTTCCTCGCCAAGCTGTGCCGAAGCCTCCTGTGCGACGACCTCTTCAGCCACCAGCCCTTCCCCAGGCGCTCGAGTGCCTCAGAGGATGCCCAGGAGAACCAGGAAGGCAGGATGGAAACAGGTAGGCTTTGTCCATCTGTCTTTGCCTTGCCTGCAGGTGGTCCCGGGGGTACCTGCCCTCCCCGGCCAGATGAGGCTGCTGCTGAGGGAGCTGCCACAACTCCTCGGAGCTCTCCTGCTGCTTCTCTGGAAGCCCCAGGAGTAATCAGGGCCAGTCAGGACCAAGGATACCTAGATGGTCCGCATCCTGGCTGCAGTGGGAAGAGGTCATTCCATTATAGCTTCTAGGCCTATTAGAATTTAAGAGACCGCATTGCATATAAAGAGTGATTTTCTTCACACTCCTCTAATTAAGACTCCTGGGCATTTATTCATCATTGTTGAGTAGTTGAAAAACCAAGAAACTAAGGAAATAAGAAATCCTGGAAAAATTAGGGCTAAGAATCAATTACATTGGTCCTGCCCAGGGACCTCAGATGCCTACCAATGGCAATAAAAGGTGTGCCTGAGTGTCTATCATTGCAAGAATTTGACCAGACCATAAACCAAATATGTCTTCCAGTGAGAGTTAGTGTTTCTTTTTCATCACAGAATGGAAAGTGACCCAGGGGCTGGGTGCCTTTGGTACCACCAGCCCCTGAACAGCTCAGCATGGGAAAGTGGCCATCCCAGTGGGAAGGGCATAAGGCCACATGGGCAAACTTGCCATGATGTGTCTGCCCAAGGGACTAGACATCAACAGGACGTGCTCCTTCTCTACTTAGCATCCCTGAGCTATGGATTTGCAAATAATTAAATATGCATCCAGGTTCCCAAGGATGAACAGAAGAGTTGTCTTTCTCCTTTCTTCAGAAGCAGTGCCGTTGACATATAAAGAACACAGAAACAGCGACACTGGAATCTAATTATTATGTCATTCTGCAAACATTTGCTGAACCCTCTTCTGTTCCAAGACCCTTTCTTGGGATAAGACAAATACACAAGTTTAGCAAAGTTGTTGTGGTATTGAGTGGCCATTATGAATAATGAAAAACTGATACAACTGTAGGTACTCACAGACAGCCTTAGAACATTCAACAAAAGGATGTCTATAATAAGAGTGGCTATATCGTAAGCCTAGGAAGAGAGCAGAAAAGGATAAATTTAGATTTTTTTGTCTTATATTTTTAAACACATTTCTCTTTTTTTAAAATTAATTTTCAATCATAGTTGATATACAGTATTACATTAGTTTCAGGTGTACGACATAGTGATGAGACATTTATATACCTTACGAAGTGATCACCCCGCTAAGTCTAGTACCCATCTGACACCGTACATAGTTATTACAATAGTATTGACTATATTCCCTATGCTGTACTTTACGGCCCAGTGACTATTCTTATAACTGGCAATTTGTACTTTTTAATCCCTCCATCTTTTTCACTCATTCCCAAAACCTCCTCTCATATGGGAGCATTAATTTGTTCTCTGTATCTATGAGTTTGTTTCTGTTTTGTCTGTTCATTTATTTTGTTTTTTAGGTCCCACATATAAGTGAAATCATATGGCATTTGTCTTTCTCTGTCTGACTTACTTTACTTAGCATAATATCCTCTAGGTTTGTCCATGTTGCTGCAAATGGTAAGATTTCATTTCTTTTTCTATGGCTGAGTAATAGTCCATTGTATCAGTATATATGTACCACATCTTCCTTCATCTATTGATGTACATTTAGGTTGTTTTCATATCTTGGCTACTGTAAATCATGCTACTATGAACATAGGGGTGCATGTATCTTTTCAAATCAGTGTTTTAAATGTATTCAGATATATACCCAGAAGTGGATAACTGGGTCATATGGTAGTTCTACTTTCAATTTTTGGAGAAACATGCATACTGTTTTTCCAGATTTGGTGGCTGCTCAAATCTGCATTCCCACCAGCAGTGCACTAGGGTTCCCTTTTCTCCATATCCTCGCCAGCACTTGTTGTTTGTTGATTTAGCCATTCTGACAAGTGGAAGGTAATATCTTATTGTGGTTTTAATTCACATCTTTCTGATGATTAGTGATGTTGAGCATCTTTTCATATGTATGTTGGCCAGCTGTATGTTCAGTTTTGAGAAATGTCTATGCAGGTCATCTGCCCATTTTTAATTGGATTACTGGGGCGGGGGGATGGAAGGGAGGCTTAAGTTGTATGAGTTCCTTATATATTTTGGATATTTACCCCTTATTGGATTTATCATTGGCAAATATATTCTCCCATTCAGTACATTGACTTTTCATTTTGTTGATGGTTTCCTTTGATGTGCAAAAACTTTTAGTTTGGTGTAATCCCATTTGTTTATTTTTTCTTTTGTTTCCCTTGCTCAAGGAGACATAACAAAAAAAAATAGTGCTAGGAGTGATGTCAAAGAGTTTACTGCCTGTGTTTTCTTATAGGAGTTTTATGATTTCAGGTCTCACATTTAAGTTTTTAATTTACTGTAAGTTTATTTTTGTAGCTGGTATATGAAAGTGGTCTAGTTTCAGTTTTTTGCATTTATCTGTCTAATTTTTCCAATACCATTTATTGAAGAAACTGTCTTTACCCCATTGTATATTCTTGCCTTCTTTGTCATAGATTAATTGACCAAATAGGCATAGGTTTATTTCTGGGCTCTCTATTCTGTTCCATTGATCTTTGTGTCTGTTTTAATGCCAGTACCATGCTGTTTTGATTACTATAGCCTTGAAGTATAGTTTGATACCAGATAGTGTGATACCTCCAACTTGGTTCTTCATTATCAATATTTCTTTGGCTATTTGGGGTCAACAAAGTCTTAGCATAGATTTTTTTTTTAAAATACTGTCAAAACATTGTCTACAGTTTTACTTTAATCTCTCTGAAACCAGGGAAATTCTGCCTTTACAAAGAAAGGTAACTAAATTTGGCCTTTGTGAGCAGATGCTGTATATTTCCTGTTTTTCTTGATATCTCTGGGCCTCAGTTTCTTTTATTTTTTAATATATTTTTATTGACTTTAAAGAGTAAGGGAGAGGGAGAGAGAGATAGAAACATCAATGATGAGAGAGATCACTGATTGGCTGCCTCCTGCATGCCCCATACTGGGGAGCAACCCATCGAATCTGGGACTCTTCCGTCCGCAGGCTGAAGCTCTATTCACTGAGCCAAACCTGCTAGGGCTGGGCCTCAGTTTCCTAAATGAGGGCTTGGAGTTGCTCATGCCTAATGTTCCTTCTGGTTCTGACAGTATGGATCTGGCTTTCCTGTAAAACTTAGTTCACTCTGAAACATTCTAAAGCTAATATATCTTCTAGTGAATCTTGCAATGAGAAGAGCAGAAGTGTCTAATTTCACTTCTCAAACCCTTGAATCATTGTTTCATTGAACAACCAATGACCCATGGGACATAACCATAAAGCCACATAATCCATGTCTCCCATTGTCCTTTAAATGTATCCTGTGGGACCATTTCTTTCCTATCCATGAATACATTTAGGACAAATCTTGTGACTCTTCTGACTCCTTCAGGTAACAAGATATTCTCTAGCCAATAATTAATATGTCCAGGTCAGTGTGATCATCAAACTTTAAATTTCACTCAAAGATATAACTACTCCCCATTCCCAGCGGAGGCCTGCTTTGCCAGTTGCCTACAGCAGTAAAGGAGGGTTTGGTTGGCTTCCCTGCACCCTCTGCCCAGCCTTGTGTTTTTGCCCCTCTCTCATATCTAGCTCATGATTTTGAAGGAGAGGCAAGAACAGGAGAGCTTTTACTTGGCTAATCCTGCTGTGAGTTGGCATCATGCTCCCTGATTCTGGCAGGTGTTTAAAGCTGATCCTTCATCCTGCGGGCTTTCACAAGGGTCTTTCGGTGATTCCACCATCGCTCACATGGACAAATGTAACTCCTCTCTGGCTGCTTACTTACAGTCCTTCCATAGCCTCAGGTACCTGTGAGCAAATCTCTAACTGCTCTCTGTTGAGGCCCCCGTGTGCCCTAGACAGTCCTGTGGAAAGGATCTAAGATCTTACTTCAGACCTCTCTTCTGATGGCTCCATCCAGCCCCTGAGAAACACACATTCTCTACTCAAACCAACTGTGGATGTGCAGGCAGGTCTCTGCAGGCACCTCTCCTTTGCTCTACCATCAGAGCAGCTAGACTTTTAGATTTCTCATGGGAACCACACAGGGATCCATTGTGTCTCATAAGTTCCAGAGGCAGACAACAAGCTCTTCACATGGCCGCATTGAAGCCCCTGGGAACCCACTGGACAGTTCTCTCCATAATTCATCTTCTATTCAACCTGTTTTGCAACCCCTACAATTTATTTTATAGACTAGACGTGGGTTGTCATCTATAGGTGCAGAACTGGCTTCCCACCATCTCTTTCTGCAAGATTGGAACCCTTCACTCTGGTATGGGGTGTCTATTGTCTTGCAGCCTCATGCCAAAATGAAAACTAAAATAGCTTTACTTTAACATCTTGTCCCATGAGCTCCCTTCAGCTGCCTTTAAGTGATCATTGAGAAAACTCTTGCCTTGGTTTTCACCTTATTCTCTCCCCTTCCAAGCTCACCATGCTGAATGAGGTTCCAGTCTTTCCCCTGGAGTAGTGTAGCTGCCTCACTGCTTCCTTTGACTGGGGCGGGCATTTCTACCTGAATGCTGGTTTCATTCCTAGTTGGCTTGGCTTTGGAAGTAATGACTACAATTGTTTTCTTGACCCCTTCCCTAGCCCATGGATGCTTTGAAAAACTGAATTGTTCTAAATCAACCGATTTCATGGCATTGTTCCTCGTGCCAAGTGTTGCAGAACAGAGTGCTATGTGTTTCATGTGTCCAGGGACCTCAGGGAGAGTGGGAGGAGGCAGCTATGGCACAGTATGCTCTAAGCAGCCCCAGTGTCACACGTCTTTCCCACCAGTCTGCCATGGGGCCTAGAATGACACCATTTAGGAGTATGTCTTTAGATTATGACATTGCCTCTTTTGGCTTACCTTGTCAAAATTCCCTTAAAGGGTAACACATCACATTATTATTACTTTACATGAGGAATTAGTTTATCACGTG